AGCGAGTTTTCAAACTTTTGACGCGCTGTTCTTCGAACTTTTCTTATTTTAGAAATCAGACTCTGGATTTTCGTCAAAACACGTTGCATGCCATATTTCCCACATGATTTTATATCTAATATGTAACTTTGGGATAATCACGATCTCAAATGGCCGAGCTATTCGAAAAATTAAAAAGTTTCCAAACTTTTGACCACTACTGTGCTTTTCGGCACACAAAATTCGACAGATATTATCGTATTATATTGCTACTATTATTACTTTATATTATTATAGTTATTACTATTACTTTACTATTACTATTAACATTATTAGGCCAGATATGCAACTAGGCGCTATTACATCTCTGCGTCACAAACCTGCATGGACAACGTCGTTTTTGCAGCGTCGCTGTCAGCAGCAACAACTGTGCTCTCCAGACGGCGAATCTGCTCTCTGAGCTCCGTTTCTCGCTTTTCGGCCTCTACTGCCTCAACTGTGGATGTTTCCTCGACTAGAAGAAGATGGTCCTTGAGCCGTTGCAATTCTCGCGACAACTTCTCTCGAGATTCGCGCTCACTAAAAAGTTTTCTATATTACAAGCAAAAAAATTGCAAGGGTGAGTGAAAACTAAAAGGAGCCTACTGCTGTAAAATTTTAATTTCTAGAATGATATGCTCATACTTCGCTAACGACTCTTCAGCTTGCCGCTGGCTATCGGCCAATTTCTGCTCCAATACGGCTATTTGAGCAACAGCTGCTTCTAATCGAGCGAAATAATCCACACTTTCGGCGTGTTTTTGGGTGGCGACCTTAATCACTCCTCATTATTCAGAAAGTTGCACTAGAAGAAAATTAATGCATCCTGAACAGCTCAAGTGATTTACCGCTAACAACTAGCACTCAAGTAGAACGCTTACCTGCCGGAGTTGATTGTTTTCAGTCGTAATCGTATTCAGGGCGCTTTCGCTTTCACATATCTGGTTTTCAGCCTTTGTGAGAGCCTAAATACAATGCGATACTGATGAAATTCTGGATAAATAAAGTACCTCCGGAAAAAGTTCATGGGTTAAATTACGATATACTTTTTGTTTCTGTTGTTCAATGATGCAGATCGCAATGCGAAAGTTAATAATAAAAATGCTGAGTAAAGTGTCAAATGCCCTTATTCTACTGTTAAACCTACTTTAATTTTTACTGACGTTTTGCTCTGTCCATGGATCAGCACCCTTTTCATCTCATCTCGCTTTTATGGATTAGGAAAAGTCCCATACCTACCTCTTTCAGTCTGGCGCATTCCGCGTTGAGCTGTTCTATCTTTCCAGAAAGTTCTTCCTTCTCTTGGTCCACCTCCTGGGGAGGATATGACTGCTAAAACACAACTTCTTTGTATAATTGAATAGTAATTGAATATTCACATTGCATGATCTCGAAGCCTGTGAAATAAGATAATTTGCAACAAGACACAAATAGAACCTGTTCTAAGTCAGATGTTTCTAGCGTAGAAGCAGAGAGAAGCTCCTCACTAGAATCTAGCTGGAAATGTTCAGAAGAGCATTCACCCTGAAACAAATGTTGGACACAGCTGTCACAATCTATGTACTACTTCACGTCTACTGCTGCAAAGCATATAAGAAATTGAATTTTTAGAAAATCCTCGCTACAGGTGTGAAAGTATTTATAATAGCAAACCTTAACGCTCAGTCAGCTTATTTCTTTGATATGTTTTATAACCTAACCTATTCTCTTCCACGTACTAACCGTCGTCGCCCCAACTCCGACGAACAGCACGCCTATGTAGGTGACACCTGGCGTCCTGACGCCGACGTCAGAGTCGCACTACGAAAACGCCCACGGGTACTACCCCCACGACTAGTGGATGGATTCTCAAATGAACGGTTCAGCCCTAACAAGACCATCATATCGCGACCACTTTAGGGTGTGAACTTGGGCCGAGCCAATTTTGGAGCCCTTATTACACGCTGTCTAGGTAGTTTGTAGACCTGACAGTGTCCCATATGCTATAGCGACTGCATACATGACTTCGTTCAGCANGACTCCTGACGAAGGAAGGAATCGCCTCAATGCGCCAAAATAACAATTGAAACATACTCATGAATTGGGTAAGATTTATGGGAATATGGAGCTTCACTTTCACGTGCGTCAAGGGTAGCGTCATTGGCATATGTACTTCTACTTAAGTACCGGGTTCATATAAAACATGGCCAGAGTAACAAGAAAAAAGGTTGCATCACTTACCTATTATCGAGGTAAGTGTTCGGAAGGAAAATGAGACAAATGATGGAAAATTAAAGGATGCGGGCTACGGCTGTCAATGTCGATTAATACTACAGTCAGTGCGACACTAGTTGGTTGCAGGGTTCGTTGAATCACATGAAGGAAGCAAAGAGGTCCTGACAGTGAGAGTAGCTGGACGAAGAATAAGGAACTCCAATAAATAACTTTTTCAGCATATCCGAACAATTCTAGCGAATCGAGCTGAAGTCATTTCGAGGAAAAGTCATGGTCAGGTATCTAGGACCTCACCCAGGCAGGAAGTGTATGTAAGTTAAAAAGCATGTTACTTCTTGATTCAGGAGAAAATAAATGTGTCCGAAAAGTGGGTTTATAAAAAAGGAAANGTTCGTTTCTCTTCAAGGAGAAAGCTATCAGAAAAAGTCAAGAAAGGAAAAAAGGCAAAGTTAAATAGCCATAGCCTAGGGCTTAGGAGGCACTGTTCACGATAATTCCGGGGTACCTAGTTCGAGATGAAAAATGGAAGTGTCAGCTCATAATGGTGTAAAAACGGCGGGGAAAATGCTGAAATCGGCGTTATTTGAGAAATAGAGTGCTTTAGAAAGGTAGTCAAATTTCTGGTTGAATAGGAAAATGATCACAAAGTTGCACTGGAGGGGTATTTCGACGAGCTGTGTGTGTCTCTCGTCTACAGTAAGTTTCCTGTGCGCAACGCGGGCGTCTCGGTGCGAATCGTGCTACCTCTACAGCCTCTGGAAACACCGTGGGAGCTCGTCCGCCTTTGGGTGTGTGGTCGGCTGAGCCTGCTTTGAGGCCTTTATTACGCCATATCTCTACTAAATTTCGACCTGACAGCACCCATACTAACATTGGGGTAACAGGTTCACCCAAAAGAGATATCGAAAACCAGCTTTACCGTTGACTATTCCCTGTACCTAAACGACCAAGTGTTTGATGAGGGTTCAGTATCATTCGCAAATTGAACATGGATTTTAGCTAGTGAAAACGGAAACAAACGAACCTGTTCAAAATGAGGATCATGGCGGGTAGATTCCGGCTGCTTTCGATTCAATTCTTCACTCATCGAATTCAACGAGCGATCTTTTTCCAAGATCTGGGAGAGTTAAATAAAATAGTAACACAAATAGTCCACGTCAAGGTGCGCCCATAATTCTGACACAATTAGTTTGAACGTATTCCGGAAAAGGGAACCTTTAAGGCAAACGCACTTGGCCATTAGAAAAACAGAGCATACTAATCTTATTGTTAATGCTGCAGTCTACATGGTTTCCGCAACAGTATTTTCACGGCTTTACAGCCAGGCGGTAGTCGAGTGATCGAATGCGGTTCATAATCAGATCCGAACAAGGTCGTCGGTCTTTTCGGGTAAAATGTGCGCGAGAAAGTATTGTTATAACCTTATAGCCTTTGCGTGTACTCCTTTTTGGCAACTTCAAAAGTGAGTTGACTTTATTTGCCTTGACTCTATTTTCAAGGGACGACACCGAGTAACAAAAGAGTAACAGATCACCCTAATGTAATACAGCACCTCGCAGTCACACACATTGTACAAATCGAGGCCTAAACCTGACCTAAAGGATGCCTAGATTATACTACATACACCTCAACACCAACTGCATCGGGATCCTGTCGCAAGAAAGATTGCAAGTGATAACACCTCATTATACGAAGTCTTAGAAAACTTCTGATTGGTGGGAGAACGTGCGTCATATCAGGACAGTTGTGGTACCAGAAATGAATTCTGACCTTCTGATTAAGAGGACTACATCACTCTCATTTTCGACTGGAAGAAAGTTCAACAGCGGCGAACTTTGGAGTTACACACAATCAAATACATGGCTATGCCTTTTCATAAGAGAAGGGATTGTGCATAACATTATTCTCCATGAAGACCACAGATATGGAATTGCTCTATTTTGGCTTGAAGTTCTTGATAAAAATTAGGCTTCCCACTAAAACGTTAACTATAAACATAGTTTTTTTAAGAAATCTTTTCAAGGAAAGGGCGTAAATTTAAGATTGTGACAGAATTCAGGGGGCACCGTAGTGTATCAACATAGAAGTATGAACACCCAAATACCAACCTGTTGCTTGAGTTGAAGATTAACTTTTGCTGCAAGCTGCAGTTGCACTTGTAAGGCATTTGTTTGAGCTATCATCTCATCTACGCACGATTGTCGCAGCTGCAAGAGAAGAGAAATCATGATCTTGCCACCACAACCTAAGGGCAAAATAGTGCATGTTACGAAGCAAAAAAAAAATCAAGAGAATTATTGTCACTAAGCTGCAAAATTAAGATTCTAGAAAAATAGGGTAGTGCTAGTCAATAACACTATAAACTCTACCGTGACTTCTTTTTCCAGATCATCTGCCTGCTGTCTGAGTTTTTCACATTCCTCCGTTTTCTCCGCATTTGCTGCCAAGGCTTCACGTAGCTGAGCAGTGAGAGCCGAAACCTATCACAATCGTATTAAACACAGTTCACATAGGTTCATTCAAAATGAAAAGGGTTGAAACGAGTCATGAATGAATCAAAATGGGAATGACACCTCATCCGCAATCTCGTTAGTTTGCGAGGTTTGATCTTGGCGACCTCCATCGACTTTCCCCTGTAGAGCCTTCAGAGATGTTTGCAGTTCCTCCCTATGCTCCTCCAAAAGCCTGTAACTGAGAAATGATGTCAGGCAATCATGACTCACAGCAAAAAAAAAACACCCACGAGATTTTCTCCTCTAAAAGCTGTGTTTTCTTTTGATCTGTCTCCTCCTGTTTCTTCATATGAGCGTTAACCTCGGCTAACAACCTTGATTCCTCAGACAATAATCTGAAAATCCAATATTGAACATGACATCAATAAGCGTATATTTTAGGGGTGTGGTGCGTTAGGAATGCGTCGCGGTGAGAGGCGTCGCGCGCGAAGGAATGTAGCGAGATTCAGCAGTAGGTAAGAAATACAAGAACAAAAGTACTAATAGTAGAATTATGTATAAAATAATGATCGTATATCGATTGAGGTGTATGAAGAACGCTAGAGCTGTAATAACTGCGAATGAGTGGTCCGCGACAGCCGCGTGCGGCGAATCGATTACCCAAAATCGTTCCTAACGCCCGTCTCCCTATATTTTAGGACTCAATGTAGTCCTCCCACCAGTTTAAACCCTCAACAAAGTAATGGCAGGTCGCAGCAATTCAAAACAGACCTGTTCCGTTCCTGTAACATAGTGACTTCCTCTCGAAGTTCACGGTTTAAATTGTCGACGGCAGCCGTCTGGACTTGACTCAACGATGAGCTACCCTGGGCATCGCTCTCGTTTGCGGAATTTTCACTTCTTTGAATGTTATCATTCAGCGATTTGGTATAACTTAAATGGAACAAGTTTTAGTTGATCACAGGCAGTAAATGAGTAAAATTATTGTTGCACAAGTTGTAGTCGAGCCAAAAAGTATGTACTAACCGATCTATTACAGCAGCCATTTTCTCGTTCTCTTCACAGAGATTTCGATTCGAAGACCTAAGCATGTCTAGCTCTGTGTCGATCCCTTCTACTGTAGATCGGAACCGATCGACGTCAGAACGCAGGCGATCACGATCGGTTTTCGCTTGTTCTAGAGCAGCGCGGAGACGATCCACTTCGCCCTGAAACGAAATATGACAAGAACAAGATTGATGGATAGAAAAAGACAAACAAAGAGAAGTTAACAATTCCTAAGAAAAAACAAAGGAAAAACGTACGGACACATCTGCGTCCTTGTTCTGTTCACGGACATCAGCAAACCCTGACTTCAATCTTTCAAATTCGCCAGAAAGCCTCTCCAGTTGAGCGACGGTTTCCTGATTTTCGCGCTTACACATCTCGTACCGCTCCTCGTATTCGATGAGACTCGCTTTCAAGAGATCTAAAAACAAAATTTCAGAAAAGGGTAAATTTATTCGGTTACAATCCTTTGTACAAATCATAGCTAAAAACATGAATATCTGAAGACCAATTTATTACATCCAAGAGCTTTCCAAGTAGAATCATTGTTTTGTTAAATAATTAACACCTTATCAAGCACGTCTACAATAAACAAGCTCTGTAGATCTTGGAGCTGCGATAGGCTTCTGAGAAGTACAGACATAACCGTACGGTAATTCTATGAAGAAAACCCAAGAAGCAAAGTACTCCTATTCCCGAATAAAGCATTCATACTCAGGCTTGAACAATGTTCAAGTATATCCCTCGCAGGATGACCTCATCGAACCCCTATTGACTTTATTGATCTCTTGGACTATTACATCTGTACTTTTGAAAAGTGAGCAAAAAAAAAATGAGCGAGTTTTACAATCTGCTCACCTATTCGTCGAGTAAGATCTTGATTATTGTTATCCTGTGCAGTAGTGGCGGTCAGCTCTTTGTACTTTTCAAACTCCTCGTTCAAATCATTGTATGCTTGGGTCAACTCCTCGTGTTGAATCCTGAATGTGAAAAAAATTGAGATGACATGTCGGCCAATGCCAATTTCCACTATTAACACTTCCGTAATGAAACGTGCCTCAAACTTTCGGACTCCTGAACCCTCGCCTCCAAATCAGAAGAAGTAGCCCGCAACTGTACCACCTCGGCTTGAGCTTCTCGCAACTTTTCTTCCAGTTCCGTAAGCTCTGATCTCTCGACCAAGTCCAGTACTTCCATGCGATCATCACATCCCGCTGAGGCACTAGCAGTGGAGGGCCGCTGACGCACCTAAAATAGACCTTGTAAGCAAGAAGATACTTATACTTTGGGACAGTCTTGCTGAATGCTATACCAATTCTTCAAGTTTTCGTTTTGTATCCAGTAATTCTTCCTTCTCCAACAACACGGCATCCAACACGTCGGTATTGCTGGTTGAAGATGATGCTACACCCTATAATAACAGAATTGCAAATGAATTATTGATCAGCAACGAGAAGGGGCAAAACATGGCCTAGAAATTATGAGGCTCAGCGTATGCATTTGACAAAAAAGGCTTCAAATTAGCGGAAGCCTACGGGAACTTTCAATTATAAAGATGAATAAAATTGACCTCCAATGCACTAATCCTTTCTTCGTACATCTCCCTCATTTCATTCAAATTGCGCGAGTGTAGTTCCATAAGAGATGTGATCTCCTCCTCCTTGCGTCTTCGCTCCTCCTCTAGACGCTGTTCCAGCTCACCAGCGGAATCCTGATAAAGGCTTTTCAACAAGCACATCACATATCATCACGTAATTCTCTGTTTGTGTAATTCTGCGCTAAGCGTAGAGCGCTCAAATATATTAGGTATGCACAGAAAGGGGACGTCAACGGTCGCTAAATTACTTATGGAAGGATGAGGGTATAAACACTTTTAGTTTTAATCAATCCTATCTTTCGTGGTGCGCCCCCGCATTCGATTTCCATTAGAAATCGTAGTTGCGCTTCAATGGAAGCATGGCCCATACAATGACTAGCGGTGGCCAATCAAAGTACACGTCGATGCTTTTGTCTTCCCAGACGAGCGTGTACTAACTATCCGATCCTTAGTGGTTGAAGAGTTGGTCGGCCTTGGCGAGAATCGATCCGGGAATTGAACCGTGGCCCATGTGGGTGATAGTGCACCCCTTAACACTACCACACTTCTCCACAAACTGATGACATTCTCCTATATATAATTCGCTTTCCGATGAGGAACGCTGTGCAATAGAATTAAGATAGTTCAATCACCAATCGCTAACACTAGAGAGCATCCTTCGTAGCTAGGTAGTAGAAGGTCGGCGAGTCAGAAAAGCTAATAAAGGCATTACAAATACTTTGTAGTTGGTCTGTGGATTATCTGTCAAAATAAGAGGCGAAAGATGGAAATTTCGTAAGCGTAAGTGATAAAGGCATGTCGATTTTGAAGTGTCTGCCTTTTGAAAGGGTTTTAGGAGTGAACGGTCAACCTTCATCCCGACTTTGTAGCAGAAAGGTGAGAAGCCCTGCCAAGCGGGCGATCCGACTGACAAGAAAAAATGATAAGAACTAAAACAGCTTTACAAAGGGTTCAGTGATCATTGTGCTTAAGAAGAGCCAGATTATAGCGGGGAGCAGCAATCGACTAGATTGGCTGAACACTAGCCCAGGCATTTTTCAATTTCTGAAGCAACACTAATAAAGCTAAATTGGAATACTACTGGGAAAACGGATTATGTGTACCAGTAACAATGAACCTTTTATAAAAGCTCGAGTGATATTACCGAAGAATAATAGGCCAAAAAATCTCAAAAAAAAAANAAAAAAAAATACTTGAGCCTTTAGCATATCTTCAAAAGTTTTCACCCACTGTTGACAACAAAAAGAGAAAAGTGATTACGTACCTTATCATGTCCCATCTCAACCAATGACTTCCAATGACTGACTTCTCGTTGTAAATCTAGTATATTCTGCTCCATTGTTCCAGTATCAACATCTGTAGACTGCCACTCCCCGAGCTGTAACCGCTCCAGTTCATTCTGAATGAAATAGTTTATCGAGTGATATAACGCGTAAAAACACTTAAATGCATTTCAGTGAGGTGTATAGATCCTGCACGAACTCTTAGGCTCTTAAATTATCGCACTCCTGAAAACCATTCATGGAAATCCACAATAATCATAGTACTTCTCGAAAATGAAAATAAGCAGGAAAAATCTGTAACTCTCTTTAAAATGCAGGAAACTTCAAAATATTAGGGCGCTCGGAAGGTGTCTGCCAGAATACCACCAGTGAGTAGGCAAACTCAAAACAGCACAACTTTATAATCACACTATATAACTGAACAGGACAATCTTTGTCAACATCAACTACTTTCCGCTAACGTTCCAAGTGAAGGATTCCTTTAGAGAAATCCATTACAATGTGGGAACACACATTTACATGCAGCAAGAGAGCTTCGTCTAGCTTAGAATGCTCCTCGTCGGCCAATCTTTGCAATTGATTGTACTAGACCTCAGCAGAAATGTCGTGTTATCGGCGCAGTAGCTCCAGGTTCTAGATTGGAGACAAACAGCAACGAGGTCTTGAAACAGGACGCCGGTCCAAACAAGCTTAAAGTCAGATACTACAAAAGGTCCGTCTACATAATATACCAACTAAGGACAGATGGAATTGGCAAACCGTGAAGTGCGTTCGCCCGAGGAGAAACACGCAGGCCTTCAGCTAGGACACCGTTTGTTTGCCTAACTTACCACGCGATTAACTACAACACCTTGGTTCAAGAAATCTAACACCGACTGAGATAGTTATGCTGACATTTTGTTAAGGCGTAGGAGAAGTCCATTGTGTAAATGATAAATAAAAGGGAGACAGCACGACCCTTCACGAACTCCTGAATCGCAGTGCCACCTATGAGAAAAAATGTCCTATAGTTGACCAGGAAAGTTAGATTTGATCTCAACCGTGGGCAACCGTATCGGATGCCTCGGNAAAAAAAATCGCATTTCATGTGGATGCTTTTCGGCTAGTTTCCAATTCGCCCGACGATATCGATCGATCAGAGCAAGGTTTCCTGTTACTAAGTCCGAAGCGTTAAAACCAGGCGCGCACAGACCGCTCAGGTGCTGAAGGGACGAACAGTTGATACAAATTTCGACGAGTTATCGTCGGTAGCGAAATGGCCAAATTCGAAGGCATGAAGAATACGTGTCAGGTATGGACAGACATTCTGTCACTTTATGGTTAAATAAGCAAGGAAAAGGAAGTGGATATGTTCTGGGTACTCGCGTAAGTGGCAATCTTGCATAGAAACCCCAAGGAAGCTTTCAAAAAAACCTTAGCAAAAATCTTGAGTAGTGCGAAATTCACAGCAGATACTTTCCGTACACTCTAATAGCAGAACATTTGCTTATAGCCTCCCTTATCTTCACGAATGTTTCGAAGAACCGCTTAATCGTGACTGAAATAAGAAAAAGTTTTGCTGTCCTCTAACCTCTGATCTGATCTTTTTCGAAATTTACAGATACAAAGCGAAGGCGAACAGCGAAAGTTTGAGATGACAGACTTCAATCGTAAATGTTCTAGTTGTTACTAGAGCATATCTCAGTATAATCCTCAAATATTATCTAGTACAGGCAGGCAGAAACGAGATTCATCGATATATTCGATCTGAATGCACAAAAAGTCGAAGCCTCCTAAATCCCTCAAGACTAAGTTGGTTACGTTACAACTTTTTTCAAGACTTTAAGATGCAGGCTCCTTACGATGATCATATCATATCCCCTTGGGGCGCGCAAACTTGAAACAGCGTAGGTCTTGGGTGGAAAGTATACATTGGGAGCGCATTATAGACTGTTTAAAAGCAACACATACCTTAAGCTTTTTTATTTCCTCATCTCTTGAAAGGATCATCGTCCGATGACGCTCAGTCAGCATTTCGAGTTCGCTTTGATGTGCAGATAACATGTGCTCTTGTTCCAACACCTTTTCTTCTAATTTACTCACTTTCGATTGCTCTATTACAAGCTGACGCTCGGCTTCATTACGCTTCTTGTTCGCCACCTAGAATGCAAACCCGGCATGGCCTGAGCGAGAAACCAATCGGGCAATTATGCAAATAACTAAGTCCAACTTAATTCAATTAGTCAGAAAATTTATAGACAGGTCCACAGAGTGGGCATAATGAGATCGCTCACTGATTAAAAAAACACATCAATCAATCAGGAGCTCGATCACAAATGCTCTTGAATGGATGAATTGCAGCGATTAAGCTAATAGTTCTTGATGATTATCTTCTCAACTGAATAGCAAAAAATGAAAACCTGCAGCTCTGTTTCCGGGTCTGCGACCTCATCTGTGGCTTCACTGAGGACTTCATTGGCGAGCTCAGATAGTTGCCCTTGCAGGTTTCGGAACCAGCTCATAAATAAAGAACCTTAAAAGAGTCGTACACATATCATATTGCACTTAGGAACTACTACTTTGTGAGGAAAAAACTATACGAAACGGTGTGCAAAAAATGTGGATCGCGAGTGTATGGTCGTGAAATTAATAAGGCGTCGCTTTCATTTTATACAAGCAGCTCGAAGAACGAAGTGAAGTTGACTGTGAAACTGTATCCAAGATTTACTAAACAAAACGATAACATGGAACATGAGCGGCGATGAATGTGGCGCTTGCAGCAAAAATTAGTAAAAGACCTAGCCGAGATGGACGAGTATTCCTCACTGCTGCATTTTTTGTTTCAAACGTGTGTCAACTTCGAATCACAATTTCGTCTTCACACTGCCTGTATACAGCTGCAACAATTAATTGCTGCTGGCTGACAGACGTGACACTTGAGCTGGAAGGATATCGTGAAATGAAACATTTTCTGAGCTCTGCTTCCAGTTTTCAAGATCATGGTAGTCTTCGCCATCATTGTTAGAATCGATGATATTCGAAGAGGAAGAGATGGATGAATAATTATGGGTAACTTAATTAAGGCTTCAACTGATGCATGCCTTAAGTCCGTCAAAGTAGGAAAAAACGACGTTGGATCTCAATTCGCAGAAAACATGATTATCTTCGAATGTGAATGCCACGAATGATTTGACAGAGATTGCCCTCATGAGTGATAACTGAATGACTTGAATGACGATAATTGAACCCACACACAGAAGCCCCACATTTCGTATGGCTCCAATTACGTGTCGTGCCAACTGAAAGCTGCCCCAATGCCAGGGTGCGAAGCAGTTCCCACAGCTGGAAGTTATACCGTTTAACCTGAAAACCTGCCGCACAGGTCTATCACCTCTATTTCAAAAGGTTCGTAAAATGCATATACGGCTACAAGGTTGTATGACACTGATTGTGAGATTTGATTTCTTTTCATTCTTTGCGCTATTCTATCAATCAATCAATATCTATCATGATAAGTTGTGACTTTACCACTTTACCAGTAGATTAGAGCCAGTTCCAATTAGAGCTCAGCTTCTATTCGCGATTCCCAAAATCCTATCGTTATCAAACATTTCTTTTCTGTATCCTTCTTTGCGTATTAGGTCCTGTCGTGAATTCGTCACGTGTCGCAAAGCTGACAGGATCCGATGCAGGATATCCTCTCGTCTTATGTAATTCAATGAAACACAAATTCCTTGAGGGATTCAGCAGTAAACCCGACTCGGATCGTGACTCAGGGAACGGCAACCCTTCAGACTCTTCAACAGCGCGTGATTCTCAGAAAAAAAGAACTACGTGGCAACGAGCGTTGACAACACAGTAAATAGTTGGCAGTTCAGTTGAAGCGAGAATTGTCTTTTTTAGAGGAATAATAGAACAATGTCCATCTCCACCAAGATAGAAGAATGGAAACAATTGATACTTACACTTAACAAGCAGAACTTATAGAAACAGCTGAGATGCATTGCAAGAAGGTGCACAATGAGAATAACTCGATGGAAACAAAGCGACTAGCACTAGCAGGGTCCCTGTGGAGCAGCTGGCGCAAACGGATGAGTAGAGCGAGTCCTCTCATCAGCGTTAGCAAACTGGGTTATCCCGAAACGGTCCACCCGCTTTGCTTTGCAGTTCCTCCCTAGTTAACCATACAGGTCGTACAAGGCAAAGCGACCTGTGTGTCGAGGAACTATGAAGATCCAGAACGGATCAGATGCTCAGCGAAATTGAGCTAGGAGATTGCCAGAGGCTGAACACTGGGTGGAACACGTGAGAAACTGTTGTCTCGAAGCGTGTATGATTCTACTTTCGCGTTTTCTGTGCCTTTACGTATAAAACACTGAATTACCGTAGTATGGCGACATTGCGTATTAACTACTGGTCTCTTACCTCTTTGATTTGCAGCCCGTAATTTGCATCACTTTTTGAATTGTTGTGTTTGTAAAGCCGTCTTTTTCAAAGACCACGGGATGTAGTTTACATGCAGAATGAAGTTCTTCTATGCAAAGGCCAATTTCTTCATAAACATTGAGTCATTTCGTGGATTGATCTCATATCATCCGTTGGTTTAGAGCATATCTTTGAAAAGAGAGTCTCGTTACTTGGGCGCTGTAGAGATTTTCAACCTGATATCATGTAGAAGCGGGGTTTAGTTTGAAAAAAATGTTGCGTTAATATTTTATATTTCGTTTTCTCATTAGTCCGATATCAGTTGCGACAAATTCGTCCGACCCCATTGTTCTGATCCACGGATGAATATTCTTGAAGTGATGGTTACTGTTAAGATCAAGAAGAACAAGTCGATACTACGTAATTATAAAGTCAGCGTCACCACGAATTGAGCACCGGTGCATTGCTCTGTTCATGCGCCAAGCTCTACCTTGTGGAGGTACTTTTCGAGGTGGTTGTGATGCATGAGTGTTTTTTTTTTCGAAAATGCTGTCTTGGGCCATAGATAAGTCGGCTTCCTATAGAGCATTATCGAGGCTATAGGGTCTACTTAGCCTTGTTGGCCAGTTTAGCTTGTGCGGAATTCAGGCTGGTGTGAAGCTATTCCCAGGGGACAGCAACCTGCAGGTCCAAGAGCATTTCTGGGCTTGGATATTGGTCCTTTGATTGACTTCGAATGTCTTGGACATGGGTGCAACTACTAAGCGCGTGGCTAGGTGTAATGTTTCGATGATAGAATTTAACGATGATATATATGAGGAAGGTCTGTTTTCGGTCGCAAAATTCTCGAATCGTAAGACCTAGTTGAACGTCCAACCCATGACCAATGCGTTTCTATTGAAGGTGGCAAAGTGAGTGGACGCTAGGATCCGGTCGATCTTAAAAGCTTGTATCGCTCTAACGTTAGTGGTTGAACAACCCACTTCACCGTTTAAAAGTGGAATTCAACTCGTGTTCTTGAACTGTACATAGACGCGCATGGATGGCACCATTCTTTTCTGAACTATAGTTAGTCAACTTTAAGTGGTCCTTTACATTGTCCTGTATGGTGTTTTGACTCCCCCACAGCACTTCCCCACATGCCGATCTATCATCCTTGGATAAGCTATTTGAGTTTGCACAAAAACCGGACAACAGCGGTTAGACAACTATACTGATAAATAAGCGACGCATTAGCGGATTCTTCAGCTCCGCTATTCCACGTGAAATCGCGCGAATGCTTGATCCTAACCGCAAAAATACATGCATAAGGTAAAGTCTGTCTTCTCAGCATCCACTTCAACTTTCAATTCACAAATTATCCAACTCTGAGTAACATGTTTGTTTTCTGAACAGTGAATGCTCCATAGGACTTATTCATAGCTTACAGGTCGGTAAAGCTTTTTGACCTATTTGCAGGATGAGGTTAACGTCTTATGGAAATCATGCTAATCGCTCCAATTTTTGTGCTTTCGTGAACATGCTACGCTTCATTTATTTTGTTTGAAACGTCGCAAACCTGTTCAGACTACCTTTTTAAGTCGGGCTTCAGAATAGATCTCACATTCTACATACAATTACTAAAGATTCTTTATCGGGAAGAGCCTTCACGCGATTCTATGAATTCTCTCATTTTTT